CCCCCTTCTCCAGCGCCTTCTCTGACAACGGCCTTGACAGCGACGATGAGGAGCCCATTGAGGGAGTGTTCACCAACGGCAGCCGCGTGGAAGTGGAGGTGGACATCCACTGCAGCCGAGCCAAGGAGAAGCAGCTTCTCCAAGTGCCGGTGGAAACCAGTGACGAAGGAATTGTCATCAGTGCCAACGAAGACGAGCCCGGCCTTCCCAGGAAAGCTGAATATTCGGCCACGGGCACAATAGGGCGCCGGCGGGGCAACGGCTCTGTGGCACCGCAAGAGAGGAGCCAAAAAATCGAAGTCGCAACAGATGCCCCGCTTAGAAAAACAGGAGGCTACTTTGCTGCTCCAGCACAGCCTGACCCTGACGACCAGTTCATCATCCCACCAGAGCTTGAAGAAGAAGTCAAGGAGATCATGAAGCAGCACCAGGAGCAACAGCAGCAGCAGCGGCAGTATCCGATGGACCACCTGGCAGACTATTATGATACACCACTATGACCCACTCTATTTACTTCTCAGAAGTAAACTAACAAACAAGGAGACTTGAGTGTGGGACCCAGTGGGCTCGCATTACAGCAGGGGTTTTCCTTATCCTTTTCCTTTATATACTTCCTTTTCCCTATCCTACCACTACAGATAACTGCAGCTTTTCAGTTTGTTAGGTTTAATATTCATTGACTTTCTTCTAGAGACGCTTGACTGGTAAAGTTTAAAATAGTTAACCTTCCCTTAACATATCAAGTGTAAACACACACACAAAAAAAAACAAAACAAAAAAAATTAAAAGGTTTAATATATTGCCGAGAAACAGATGATGATGTAATATTTTTTAAAATGGCTTGTTTGTTTTGTTTGAAAAGCAGGGCAGTAGCCAGTGCTAAATGATTTAAGTAATATTGTAATACTGTATTTCTTTGAGAGAAAAGGCTTTTTTTGGTCTTGAAAATGATAGACATTTGTAGAATATGGAGACTAACTCCTAGGAGTTGCTTTACTCTTTCAGGTGACTTAAGTCACTGAGATTCACTAATTTTCTCTGAGAGAACAGTTGATTGGGAAATTCCTGTAAATAGCTCAGTGTTGTATAGTGATGCTTACATGTTTTGTAGCCTTGGCATTAAGGACACAACCTGAAAAATTGACCTTTTTTCTTAAACGACCCTTTGGGCCGTGGTCATTGAGCGTAATGGACTGAGTGGCTGTGTAGAAGGTAGCTAGAGCCAAGATGGTGTAGACCATTTAAAGAAACACACTTTTTCCTCTGGTCTCTTTCTTTCCTTACTTTTAAAAATGTTTTGTTTGTGTTCCTTACTGCTGCCACAACCAGCATGATTGTATAGAGCTCATTTGCTGTAGAACATTTACATACCAAGAGTTATATTAAAGCCGAATGCACAAATGAACATGTCATAATTTTTGTTATAATAAATATTAAATTTACACCTGATGTCTGCATTTATGTCTAAACAGCCGAGCAGCAGTTTTCACACACAGCAGCTTGCTGTGGTCCATCAACACGCAACTCGGTTTACTTTTTCAGCTCAATCACATTTTTAGACTAACTGCCGAAGCTCACGTGTACTTTTTAGAATTTAAAGGCCATGCAAAAAAATGGCCTTTAAAAGATACGAAACAACTCTCTGAGGAATTGACCTGTTTCTTTTCTTCTTTCACAGTACTCATTCAGCACTATTGATTTGCTCTTTGCCACGGTATTGACAATGCCAGAAGACTGAAGAGGAGCGGTGCTCTGGCTCTGTCCCACTGGGACTGAGTAACTGAAGATAGAAATGATGAAGGCATAATGTGGGCTAAGACAAGGGAGGAAGAAAATGTTGGATACAGAGAAAATAGGAGGATACAGGATACAGGAAAAATAGGAGCAGGCAGAGAAGTGAACTCAAAGCTACTAAGGAAACTCAGATTTGCTCAAAGGTCTTGAACGAACGTGAGTTCAGTGGCAGTTTGACTTCGGTAGCAAAAGGGAGGGCTTTTTGCAATTCCTGTGGGAAAAGAGGAACACCGCTTTTCAATAGTGCCTCCACCCAGCTGTTCCATTTTACTCGTCACTCTTCAAAAAGCTGAATTAGCGTGTGATCATGACGGTGTCTTGCTTCTGCTTGACATTTGGTCTGTTTTGGGAGAGGAGGGTGGTAACAGGCTGTTGTCTGTATTCCATTCTAGGGTGAAATAGCCGGTTTAGGACAGGATTGCTGTTAGCAAGAGATTTTTAGTTTCTTTTCCGTAAATAATAACAACAGAGGAGCATATGTGAAAATACCTGGTTTCGTAAATGTTTATGGCACTGTCTACTGTAGATCTAGATGATTGTACTTTATTGTAATATGAGCTTCAAAATATCTCTTTCTTAAAGAAAACTCATTAAATAATGTATTTAAACCGAAACAAGTTTATGGTTTATTGCCTAGTAACCCTTAGGTGTTTTTGGTAAACAGTTCATATATTTCAAATTTTCTTGAATGATTCATTTTCCTTGGTATCCTTGGACTGTGTTATCTCTTTTTCTTCTGTTCCGATGTTGCTCGAGGCTGAAGGTGATAACTAGCAAGGACACCACCATGGCCTAGGCAAGTGATTACAAGTTTAGGGTTTCTTGAGCAAGCTGGAAAATTCTCTGTACCCTAAAAAAACCCAAGGCAATTCTCCTGCACGTGACTAGCACCCTCTGCTTTTAGAGGACTAATCTTGCTGTCAGTGTCTGTGGTCTCTGTCTGTGACAAGGTGCCTGTGGTGTGTGTACGTGGGGTACTCCAGAGAGAGCAGCAGAGGTTGGAGTAGGGGTGGAAGGGGAACTATTTCACCGTGTTCTGGAGTCGGGGCTTCTCTGGTGTCAAAGTGACAGGGTTTGGGGTGAGGAGCTGGACCTTTGGATTTCTGGTCTGCCTGGAGGAGATGTTTGTGGTTGCAGCCTGTCCTTAACAAGCCGTAAGGCGAGGGGCTGATGCGTTCGTAGGGGTGGCTTCATTGCTTCGCTGGACTTTGCATAACTGGCTGAACTCCATCAGTAGGTTGGATGCCTGAGAGCATCTTTGGAAAGTTGACCATTTATTTTTGAACACGGGCAAAGGGTATTTTGTTCTGGCTTTAAACTGGGACTTGGAAAAAACAAGGTACTGTTTTTGCAGCTTGTGACCCTTCTACACATCTCTGTCCTCTTTAACAAATGGGGTTTAGTATGGTCTTGTGAAGACTGAAACTGATGCAATTGTTTTCACGTAGGTGCATTCCTATTGTGTGGTTTTATGATTATGTGAATGGTATATATTAGAAAGTTTTGACCTGTCAGGACCTGTCTGACTCAGAAATGTGGATTTGTTTGCAACTCTACCAGGGGCAAAAGTTGGGGGCTAAAAAGAAAGGGCAGACTGGGGAAAATATAGGGCCGTATTACCTTTATAATCAAACCTTTCATGTCCTTTGCAACCTGGTGATAGCTCTGAGACAAGCACAGATACATGAACAGGAGGAGGTAGATGGCTGGTGGCAGAGAAATGAATGTGTTTATATTACTTTCTGGTAGATAACTTTAGATGGGAGGCTACGATGGTATGGAGAAGTAATTGAGTTGCTTATGTGCTTGGATATCTGAGTCCTTTTTTTGTGGCATAAAAGCTTTTTTCTTGCCTTCTGCCATAGTGCTCTAACATGCATTTTTTTGTGTATGAATAACCTCTTGGCCTTCTGCTTGTTGCATTCGGCACGTGGCACCGCCATCTTCTTGTTGGTAGCCAGTGCTGTGGTGGCATTGCTGCCCTCTGGCTTGATTGTTTTTGCAGAGCCCCAGCTATACCCGTGTAGGTTGTCTCCATCTACTACAGAATGTGCCGCCGCTGCAGCGCCCCGTTTGTCACCCTTGAAGTAGATGCTTTGTAGCAATCTCAGCTTGACCACCAGCCATCGTGCTTACAACTCATACGGTAATTTTCTAGCAAATTGTACACTTTTTTTCAAGTATAACTTTGGAAGCACATCCATACGGGGGTTGGTGTTAATCAAGTGTCACACACACCTTTGGAGGTAGTTCCTGTATCTCTGCCCTGGCCATGGGTGATGTTGTTTGGGTTGAGCTTTGCAGGTCTGGCCTTGTAACTGTTTGCTTGAGTGGGCTGGTTGGGATAACCTAGTGATCAGTTTACTGACATGGAGTGCGGAAGGCCTTGAATTGATTTAAGCAGAGCAGTGGGATTCAAAGAAGGAGATGGAACAGTAACTTCAGCCTTCTCAGCCTCATTTCACTGGGCACTATGAGCCATCAGTGAATAGATGAGCTTTTTCTAAGAGGAGAGGGCACTGAAGTTTTTAGCTGAGCAGTTACCAGCAGTGCTGTAGGGTCAGGTCCCTCAGAGCTTTGGCTGCAGAGAGCCGTGTAGCCGAAAGCTGGTAAAAATATCTTTTGGGCTCAGCTGGAACCAGGACACCTTGGTGTCTGTCGTGATTCTGCATTTACTTTGTTTCAGTTTAACCTGCTTTACTGTCCTGCTTTGTTAATTCAGTTGACTTGCTTCAGGGACAACTTATCGCACTATTGCTGGATTAATTGATTTCTTACCGATTTGTTACCTGCATGCTTGCACCGCTTGCGGTGAGGATTTGATGGAGTGTTGCATGAACCAATCTGTTCCTCCTGATGCTTGCATTTTGGCAAGGGGTATGCTGCATCCTACGCTGATGGTGTACCTAACAAGACTGCTGCTTCTTTGAGAAGATGAAAGTTAAAATTCATCTGCTGCCTGAGAACAGTAAAAACCCTTTGCAGCCGTTTCAATCAAAAGGTGTGGGTGGAAAAAACGTAAATATTTCATAGATTAACAGCAGCTCCAGTGCAGAATCAGTACACCATTTATCTAGGACGTCAGTAGCGGGGGAAAAAAGCTCCTTGTTTGTTCCAAGTCCCTGGTTTAAATTATTTGGTACCTGCTTTTCCCCAGACTTTTTTTATTTGTGTTTCCATTCCTGTTGAGTTCAACAGTTCATACTTAAGATCCTCCTTCCTCAGACTGACAAGTTGGGAATCACCTGCGGTTGACTTGCATGCCTCGTCCTACCTTTTCTCCCCCGCGATGAGCTAAGCTTGCCCTCTAGGTTATGACTGAGGCGGGATCTGAAGGGGGCTGACACTATCTCATCTTTTTCCATGTTTTCTTAATAGTGTAAGCTGAAGGGAGATGCTTAATCTGCAAGAGCTCATCAGGAGCACGATGGCACTGCAGCAGTGAAGAAGCTGTCGTGTAATAACTGCAGTGGGACAGACCTGAGACAGGCAGGACTGGTCTGCTCCCCAGTGGGGAGACCCAGGAGTAGATGAGCTCCTCAGGCTTTCTGCTGCAGAAGAACTGGAAAGACTGATTTCCAATCAGAGAGTCTGGTTTCCTGCACCTCAGGCTGGGGGAAGAGGATGGAGTCAGCAGTACCACAGCCCGGAGATAGTGCTTGCTGGTGGAGGAGGTTTAGCTGGCTGTTAGTGCCCTGTCCACCTACAGAGTCTCAATTCCAGTGTCCTGTTGGTAGTCACAGCCCTTGGCACCTGTTTCATGTCTTCATCTGAGCTTGTTCTTTTGTGTCACTTGTCAAAACTTCAGCAAACGACCAAAAGAAGGATCTTTTACCAGTGGTTCTGTGGAATTGCCTTTGGACACCTGTGTTGAGGGGATGTAGGTGACTTAAAGGTCCCAGCAGTCTCTGGGGATGCGGCTATGGAGGCTTTTGGGCGCCCCTGGTGTCAGCTGAGCTGCAGCCCCACAATGGGAACCTGGGCAGTTGACACAATGCTCTAGGCACAGCAGGCTCTTCTACCCTCTGTCAGATTAAGCACAGCTGCACCAAGAGAAACATGCATATTTTAACAGTAAAGTTGTCAGTATTGACTCACAGAACAGATGGAATTGTTTTGCTAATTAAATGTATGCTGTTGAATGCTTTATAGAAAATTGGGACACAGAACTATGCAGGAAGGCTGGAGGAGCAGAAATGTGTGACTTAGTGACTTAGTGAAGCGTTGGAACAGGCTGCCCAGGGAAGTGGTGGAGTCACCATCCCTGGAGGTGTTCAAAAAAATGTGTAGACATGGTAGTGTTGGGTTGATGGTTGGACTTGACAATCTTTGAGATATTTTCCAACCTTAATGATTCTATGACTTGTGAAAAATATGCTTTTTCAGGGTAATCCCTTCTAAGGAGGCTCCAGCATTTTGTCAAAAAATAATCAAAATAAAATCTTGGAATAGATGCACTTGCTTTTAGTACTTACCTTGGTCCTGCAAAACAGAATATTTAAGTAGAATTATAGAATATATAGTGGTCTATCGAGTATGGAATAGTGCCTAGAATATATAGGGAAGTACTCTGGCTCAAATGTATTTAAAACTGAGTGGTAAGGGAGAGCAAAAGCTGCTGTGTCTTTTCAGAGTGACCGCAGCTGTCCTCCTGG